CATATCATCTGACCCTGTCAAAACAAAAGGTTGTGTAGGATGTATTGCAATACATCTAATATAATCCGGATGTGCTTCAATTGTTGTAACTTTTTCATGTGTATTATAATTAAAGACTCGTACTTGCATATCATCTGAACCAGTGATCAACCAATTTTTACGAGAAATAAACTTCGCTGCTCTAACTATATTTCATAATAATCATGGTAGCAATAATTTGTTATTTCATGTTTTATACATGTTAAAATTTATATTGATGATTTGATGATCGTCCAAAATTACCTGGTACATCTGTTACCTCAAAAGTTTTCACTAAAGCCTGAAATTTACAAATATTTTAAATCTAGCTAGACTTCATTCTTAAAACCAAATTACTAATTATTTACTTGTGTTTCATAGTTCCATATATAAACGGTTCCATTGTACAAACTTGCAAGTAACCAAGGTTCTGTTGGATGGAAATCTACACATTTTACACGATCCGAACGAGCAAAAAGCTTACGCTATATATATATATATATATATAAAAACAGAGATCTAAATTAAGATTTAGATCCTTTTTAATAATCACAAGAACTAAACTGCACAAATGCTATTTCTTCACCTTAATTTCCAATCTCATACCCTAATAAGATTAAAAAATCAAAAAGTTAGATTTTAATGAATTTTGATTTACAAATTATGTGTTTTGAGTTTTTTAACATTTTCTCACCATTTTAAAAAAATTAAAATCTAATCGAAATTCAAAAAAAAATTTTAAACAACTCGTGTTGCACGTTGTAAATCAATTAACTTTTTTGAAGGTGACCACAACCACTTTTTTAGCAAAATGATTTATTTTGTTTGTAGGAAAAAACTAATTAAAAAAAAATATTATTTTAAATGACAACTTCAAACTCTAATTCTACTATAAGCTTAACGACTAACTCTACTTCAAATGGGGTAGTGGTCGTGCTTGAACCCTACGCGATACACATTATTAATAGTATCGTTCAAGATTTAACTTTTCTTCATCAGCAAGGCTATATTGAAAAGGACGTATTAGATGAAATTAGCTGCAAGTTACCGAAACCAGCTATACAAAAGAATAAAAATACAATAACTTCTTCACCTACATCATCGGTTGCTGCTCCACAATCACCAGCTCCACAATCACCAGCTCCACAATCGTCAGCTCCATCACCAAAAACGACAAATTCAACAATGGACTCACCTGTTCTAGAAGAACAAAGCGAAAGTACAAATGGAAACCAAAGGTTTCCTTTACCAACTCAACATGAAATAAATTCAATAAATGCGCAATTAAATCAATTTGCATTAAAAAATTCTTCGTCTCAAGCTTCCTTAACAAATTCAAGTAAGATTTATTATGGATTATTAGTATTAAAATATTAATGTTTTTAAAAAAATTTTTTTTTTGAATTAAATAGTTGAAGGTTCAAACTACTCGGATACTTCTTTGACAAAGTCTCCAAAAATCCATCCTATATATGAACAATATGAAAAACGAAATACAACAGAAAAATTAATTGCACAAAGATATCAAAGCTCTGCAGAAGCAACAAGAAATAATATTAATGAAAATGGAATTGAACGACATTTTGATAACCCATATTCTATCACTCTTCCAAATGCTCCACTCGCAATCGTTGAAGCATTATGGGATTTCAATGGTTTGTTTTCTTTTTCTTTTTTCTTTTTTATTATGTTTAACAAGTATTTATTTATACATGTTAAAATAGGAGATACTGATGATTTGGCTTTCCAAAAAGGAGATAAGATAGAAGTTATTCAATGTGGTATATGTTTCAATTCATTCAATTCTTCCCCGACTTACATTGATTTTATTACATGCAAATATTTTTATTAACTATTGAATAATAATTGATTTTTTAATTCCAAGTAAATGATGAATGGTGGTATGGAAAAATTCAAGGTCGATCTCATTATGGAATATTTCCCAAGGTTTTTACCAAAATTTTGTAAGTGAATTGTTTCGAATTCAGCTATAAACTATAGGGTTTTTACAAAACATTTTCACGTAACTTTTTTTTGTATTTTAAAGGTCACAGGTAAATTATACTATTCCCAATGATCCTGTTATGAATGAGTCACCAAACGGAAATACTCTAACATACTACCCACCACCACCACAACCATTAAACCCACAGACACCACCACAACCACCACAGCCACAAAAGCCAAACCAATTACAACTTCAGCAACAAAAACAACCGCAGCAGAAGCAAGCAATTAAAAGTTCAAATCAACTCAACCAACAAATACAATATCAAATACCAGCTCGGCCAATCTCACAGGTGGTTTATCCTAATTCTAAAGGACAACCATTGCCTCAAAATGGTCAGAGAACAGGAAAACGCACTTCCTACCCTAATTACGCTCAACCATATAATAATTTACAAACTATTAATAATCCTAGAATGCGACCCCCCACTTCAAATAAATAAATAAATAAATTTATTGAATTTACTTTACCAGAGTTGTAAAAAAAGAGTTTAGACTTGTAACAATAAGATTAACATATGTATATATATAAAGGATATATAAATCATAATAAATTATTATAAATGTATCATTACAAAATATTCATAGATATGTTATTGTGGTGGATTCAATATAGAAGACATCGAAGATGCAGAAAATGTTCTACGAGAAAAGTAACTAGATTTTTCTTTTTCTTTTTCAACTTTCTATTTTTTAATAAAAAATAAATAACATTTAATAATATATTCAAGAAAAATAAAAATTAGTCAATAATAACAATTATTATTTTACCGGTGGACTCATAAAAGTTTTTAATTCATCTATATATATATGTAAAAAGAAATTATTATATTATTATTTAAAAAAATAAAAATAAAAAATAAAAAAAAAAGATTTTTTGTATAATTCAGAATATATTATGGCAATAAAATTTTTTATCTTCAATGAAAATATCTCAGAACAGGTCTGAAAAAATATATCATCATAATTATTTTTTTTTTTTAATTTTTTTTTTTTAAGAAAAAATAAATACTTGCCAACTTTTTCTTTAGGTAATATTGAAAATTGGATTGGATTAGCCTCAGTATGATTTTCGAATAAAACAGTTTCAGAACGTGAAAAATTTGCAGATTGTGATGCCATATTTGCAAAAGTTTTTATATCTTTATTATATCTAGTAATAATAATAGTAATAATTAATAATAAATCATAACGAATAACGAGTGTTATTAAATAATAATTAATTAATTAATTAATAATGAATTTTTTACTCTACAATTTATAAGCGTCTATACCAAGACAATATTTTTCTGACAAATTATCCAGTACCTCTTTCTTAAATGATTTTTTGATATAATGAAGAATATGGAAGATAAAATATTTATGAGTTGTCCAGTCTTTGAACCGTTGAGTTAGAGAGAATTCACCAGTCTCAGCATGAACCAATGGATGAAATAGTCCTTGATTATTTATAGTAGAAGATGGAAATACGATAGTAGGTGCAACATCTGGATATGTGATTTAACAACAGTTAAGGGTGGGTTTTTTTTAATTAAAACAATTTCTTTTTCCATTTTGTTTTTTTTTTATTAAAAAGGATATTCAGCAGGAATGTCAATTCTAAATTGAAATACGCCGCCTTTGTAATAACCCTTATGAATAAATATGACACCGTACCAAACTAAGAGAGTGTATTAAAAATTTATAAATTTATTTGTCGCACGTAATAATAAAAGTAAAAATCTAAGACCATACCATAAAATTCAGCAGATGGCATAACATAAACACCACTTGGACAATGTTTAGGGTTACGAAGGTTAGTGCTGAACATGTATATTAAAAAAGGATAAATAAATAAAAGTATAGGCATAGATTATTAAATTAAAATTTTTTTTTTCAAAACCAACTCTATTGTGTGTAGTAGGTTACTTACAACTCGATCATTAATTCCATTCTTCGAAAACGTTCGTCTCTAAACTGTGGTTTTTGTTGTCTATCACCGTCAGAACCACCTTTAAAGGCAGTTTCTTCTTCTCGGATAGAGTTGGTTGCATTTTTACTTCGCTTAAATGTTGTAACAGAAGACATTTTTTAAAAAATTACAATCATAACTCGTTTATATCCCCACTTATTTACATCCCATCTTTAGTTGTATCCCCAATATGTGATGGGATAAATTTCCCTATTGTAAAATAATATAAATATACCTTGTTTGTATCCCATTGAGTTATATCCCTATCCCAAATTTTCAAAATTTCAAGCCATGTTAATTAAAAAGGCTGTGGTAAAGTAAATAAAATAAAGTGGTATATGAATTAATGGTTATGTAAATTAATGACTGTGGCAAGGTTAGCAAATGTGTGGTCCATTGGGTCCATTAGTGTAACACTTTAATATTTTATTAATGGCAATGGACCAGTCAATTTGCCAACCCCGGGCTGTGGTAAAAAAGCAATTCACCTAATACTAATATTGCTGAAGGTATTACAGTCCATCACAAACGTCAATAGAAGAAGAACCAAAAATCTCACATCAAGATGGGAAAAAGTCAATTGAGATTACAAAAAGTTTTTAGAACAAAGTAATTTTGCTACTAGGGAGGATATTAAGTATATTTATAATAAAATATTTAAATGTATCTACAGATAGAAAAAAACATCAATCTTCAATTATTAATAAATAAATTTTTGATAAATTGTCACGTGATGGATTTTAGTTATATGGGGCATACTGCAACAAAATCAGACAAAGTGAACATTGGTATTACCTAGGGGTAAGTAAATAAATGGGGGGGACAACTCGATGTTACACATATAGATCTTGTGAATCCAAAACTGTCACGCCTTAAAAATTAAAAATGATGCG